TCGGGTGGCTTAGAACACACCGCCTTCTCTCAGGAGTCTGACACTTTATGACAATGTGCCATCTTGTCACGTCCAGGGAGCTCACTTGGTGACGTCTGCCGTCTCTGCTCGTGTTGGTTTTTGTATTACACATCTCCCTAGAAAGATCCAGATGCCCCAACTGTGCTATCAGAAATCCAGTGCCAAATATAGACCTGAACAATGGTATCTCCACAGATTATTCACTTATGGGAATATGGTTTTAAAAAAAGAGGAGTCTGACACTTTTGATCTTGTGAAGGAAATGTGTTGGGATGAAGTCAAAATTCCAAGAACAGAGTAATTTTGTCACCTGTGGCACAGAGCAAGTGTCTTTTGGAGCTGCCCACTCTTGAGGCTGGCTGACCTTTCGCGGAGGTTGAAAGCCCCTCGCCTTCAGATCTGTGCTCTGCTTCTCGAGGGTGTGACTGTGCTTGAAGTCACAGGGGTGCAAGACTTCAAACAGCGGCTTTCTAGGTCACAACACCAGGTGGCACTTTTCTTTAATCAGAGAAATACAGTCAAGAGGAAGGGGCTGTCTGAGCAGGATGAAACAATCATGGTTGTTTATCAGCCTGCCACGTTGGCGGCCATGTTCTTCCTCAAAAGAAAGTGACGCCGGACTTGAGACTTTCAACTAGCAGCCTGTGGTTCTTTCATTTTGCTTTGGAGGGGGCTGCTGCTAGTTCATCTGGCTCTGGGAGTGACGGGGTGATTGTCATTTATTTTGACACTCAGGAGAATATTGTGACCGGGAAGAAGACAGAAATGTACTATGTGGAGGACCCAGACGCATGTCTATCATATAATTATTATTTCTCTGTCATCAGGAAGCACGCATAGGCATGAGATAAGCATGGATGGGAAGCCACTGGGCTGATGTTAATGAATAAGCCCTTCTTCTTAGAGCCTAGGATGTGGGCTTGGGCAGGGGGTAAGGCGCGGCTGCCACCATAGGCATTGGAACCGCTGTCCCGGTGCCGGCCTGCTGAACGTCAGCCTGGGCTTGGAAGTGGTGTATGAATGCTGAATCGAGTTCCAACAAGGGCCTTCAAGAGGCAAAAAGAGCTCCGAGCGGTAAAAAGTGTGGTAGCGAACCATCCTGGTTGGTAAGAACATCCGGGCAGCATTGTCCGGTCTTCTCAGTAGACAAGTTATCCACGTCTTCTAGTCAGTGTGGAATAAGGCAAAGCTACAAGGATTGAAGGAATGCAATTATACTCAAACGACACGGATAGAAGACCTACTGTGTGTCAGATACTGAGCTTACAAAGGTGAACCAAACACTGTCTGTACCCTCCAAGAGCTCACATCTGGGACCATGTGGCCCATCACATAAAGATATTCTTTAAATGAAGAGGTGCCATCAACAGAGAAGTTTGGGAAATGCTGCTGATGCTACTCTCTCTTGGAGATTTACCATATGCATTTGCTTATCAAGGACATTAGCAGTCCTCCAGGAGGGAAACCTGTTTGACTGAGGTTCCTGCATATTTCCCAAATGTGTTTCTCTGCTGAGCCCGTGGAGCCAGAGTTCCTTGGATACAATTTAGGAAATGCTGGTTTAGGAGGTTTATCCAGCCATTGCAGAACCTGGAGGTAGGAAAATCCTGATTCAGGCGAGGGGCTGGCAGGGCAGGGTGCTGGGCCCACCAGATGAACTGTGCCTCAGGATAGAGCCCTGATCCTGGGGGAAGACGCAAGTGCTGTGTGGAGAAGCGGTGTAGACTACAGAAAGTGTGTGTAGTGGCTGTGTGTGTGTGTGTTGGTACAGAGTTGTGATCTCCACAGTGGAAACCCAAATCTACCTACTAAGAGCATGGGCAAGTGGAAGGGACAGGGTGGGGCAGGGCAACCCAGAGACGGTGGGCACCAGGACTTGTCCTGCCTTACCAGGTACCAGGCTCTGTGGACAACTTAGTCCTGAGCTCCTTTGTCTGAGGCCATTGCCTGCACTGCCATGATGGGCTCAGAACCCAGGGCAGATGATAATAAAAGGCATCCTCCTCAGAACACTAATGTACCAGGCACTGTACCAAGTTCTTTAATATATTATCCCATTAACTCCTTACGATGACCAACAGAAAAGTGTTATAATATCCTCATGTTGTAATTGGGGAAACTGAGGCTTGGGGAGGCTTGAATAACTTGCCCAAGTGCACATAGTTAGTAAAAACCTGAACCTAGACATATTACCCCAAAGCCGTTTTCTTCAGTGCTGCGAACCTGTTTACATGACTTATGCACTGTTCAGTCTAAATCCAGTTCTGTATTCACATCTCGGTTAAGAGGAGGGCAGAGCTTAAGACCAAGGTCACTTGCTCCCTAGCAATTCATTAAAATAAAAAGCATTTCTGTGTAACCTTGGGAATATTCCAGGATAACCTTTTAGTATATCATATTATCAAATCTGTAAAAATAACATCCAAAAAAGACATTATCAATGAATTTCCTGGTGAAAACTGAAAATTCGTCAACCGGAGAGGTCTTTTTTCCTTCCTCTAATCATTGTAATGCAAGCCATGACAGTTGCAAACCATGATGACTTCATTTTTATACTTTCTTTTGCTGGTTCATCTATGGCTTCAATTAAAGGCTGATTAAATAGACATAGATTCCATCAATCAAGTGTTCATTAGACACTAACAAAGCACTGGGTCACGCCCACTTAACCGGAGACCGTTTGGTGTGGAATTGATGAGGTTGAGCCCTCCTTGCCTGCCTTTGGCCACACAGAGCTCACTTAGCAGGTCCCTGGGTGAGATGTGGGCCTGAAGGCTGCCTCTGATTTCTGGCAGAGATCCCCAAGAGGCCTGTTTTCCGAGACCAGAAACGCAAATAAGGGTCGCCCTTCAAGCTAACTCTGATGGACTGTGAATGGCTGCCTGGACCACAGGGTTGAGAAAGAACTCTGATTCCATGCTGTGGCTCAGCAGGAAACAGATGCCAAATTGTTTGCAGATATCTTCCAAAGACAAGGGGGCTGCACATGCCAAGAATTTTCTATTCTGGCAGCGGACCCTGAGGCTTGCCCTGTGATAATTTCACAAAGAAACAAAGAAAGGCAAAGAAACAAGGTAGATGCAGCGGGCGTAATGGCAACATTGGTGAAATTAACTGAGACTATTTAACAAATCGATCCAACCTGAGGGTGGTGAGATCCCCTTGTTTGCCTGATCGATCAGACCTAGTGGCTGATAATCTGATTCCAACGGTGGGGGAAGATAAACTGGCTCTGATGGTTTGAGAAGCGCTGTTATATATGGAAAATAAATACGGGGATGGTGGCTGAGCAAATGAATTCTGTTTCCTTTAAGCCTCAGTATTTTCTATATATGAATATTCCCACCGGGAATAGGTCTACCGCTTCCATCTCTTACCAGTTAGCTCACATTTTGTGGGTCCAAAAGGGTTGAGAATCAGAAGCTGGGGCTCTATATTCATAGAAGAACAAACTGCTATGAAAAATTATGGTTGGGCAGGTCACCCTGAGCCAAATACGATGGCTCACAATTGTCAAGACCAGCAGGTAGATGTGCTTGATTCCGCTCTGACCACGCTTCTATCAGTACTTATAATTATGCTCTTCTTAGATTAAATTTTAATTGCAAAAGCAATACATTCTCCTTGTAAAAACGACCCAAACATTACAGATTGGGCCAACATCTTCCCTCATCACCATCCCTAACCCCAGTCCCTCTCTCCTTTCCGAGATTTAACCACCATAACCAATGGAAGTTCACCTCTGCAGACCTTCTTCAGTGCATTTATGGACATAAGCTGCACCTGCAAAATAGATGTATAAAGTATTGTGGAATTTTCTATGTGCAAGCAGGTTCACAAAAATGCTATCATACTATGGGTAACATTCCTCAACCTGATGTTTCACTTAATACTCGATTTTGGAGGGTCTTCCATGTTACAACACGTTAGATCAACACCGTGTTTTAAATTACTGCAAAATATTTCATAGTGTGGGGAGACCATTAAGATATCAATTCCTCTGTTGTTGGACAGTTATGTTGTTTCCACATTTTTCACCATGGTGGATAATCCTGCTGTGAACATCCTTGCAAAAACCCCTTGTTGACATGCATGTGTGTTTCTGAAGGGTAGATACCAAGAGAGTGAATGCATTGTTTTTGACTAGTTGCTGCTCAGTTATCCTCAAAAGTGTCTTTATCAATTCCCCTTCCTATCAGCTGTGTCTGTGCAAGACTTGTTATCTAACACCCTTATCAACCCTTGACATAATCAAATCATCCTCATATCATCCTTGTCTTTATATCATCCTTATACCTCAAGTGCCTAAGACAGTGTGGTTGCCACACAGAAGGGCCTCAGTTAACATCTGCTCATGCTCCCTTTAGCTAGAATATCTTTTCCCATTGAGGTCTTCCTCCTTCACCTTGCTTACACCTCCTCACCCCTCAGGAGTCTGCACCAGGGACCTTTTCTGAACCCTAGGAGAGATGAGGTTGTTCTCCTGGGTGGTAATAATGCCATCTCTCAGTGCACTGACATGCTTTGTTATTCTTACCTTTTTATATGCTCTCTCTCCTGCACGTCTCTGCTGAACACCAGAGAATGTGCCTTTTTTGTACCTCTATTTCCCCAACAGCCGGCCCAGGGCCCCACACGTAGTAGGCATTCACTGAGAGCTTTTAAAATGAAGGCCGTTGTTATGGAGCCACATCCACAATGGAATGAAAGCCTGTGAAAATGAACAGCATATCAGCAGAAGGAGAAATTAAGCTGTCAATCTGCTGAACAGCAAAGATTTCTTTACATCAGGAGTTTTAACATAACAGAAGTGGGGGGAGAAAAGCTAAAATATAACAGAGCTAGGGAAATGCTTTGCGTTTTTAATTTGAAAAGTGATTGGCACACCACACTGTTGCCATTGCGCGGGTATGGGGGAGGGCTCTACCTGTCACTGTCACCCGCGTGACCATCTCCCACCCTCTGTCCTGCCCCCGCAGGGACCACGGTGATGCGGATGACAGCCTTTGACGCGGACGACCCCGCCACAGATAATGCCCTGCTGCGGTATAATATCCGTCAGCAGACGCCTGACAAGCCGTCTCCCAACATGTTCTACATCGATCCTGAGAAAGGAGACATCGTCACCGTGGTGTCACCCGCACTGCTGGACCGGGAGGTGAGCTGAAAGGCACACGTCTTCCTTTTCATGAGAATCGAAGGCAGCTCTCACAGGAGGGAAGATGCAGGGCTTATATAGTAGAGGCGGAAATGAGACATTTACACTCGGTTGGGTGGGGCATACCTATTAAGGGAAATGGGATATTATGTGACGATAGTATGTAAAACACACACTATCAAAAGCCATATCCTTTGGAATTATTTGTACTCATTCAATCTGATGCCTCTGTTTCTTCACTTACCACTGATTCTTGAGGCCCTCGTGATTCTGGACTCTACCTGTCCTTACCTTCCTGTCAGGAGGGAGGCCGAGGGACGAAGGAAGGAGGGACAGGGAGGGCGGTGAGGGAAGAGGATGGCTTTGTTCAAGATCATAAAGTCGGGGGGCATCCACTTCTTTCCTTTCTCAGTGCCCTGCTGTGCGCACCACTGCTTTCCCAGGAAACTCTCTCTTCCTCCTGTCTCTGCTCTTCTCCCAGTAGGCTGCTCTCTGAAACCTGATGCATCTTCTAGGTCAGACGTCACAAACGGGTGACCCCGGGACCTCAGTCAACACACTCTTGCTCTTTGGTTTTGGCCAGGGTGTTTTAAAGTTTTCACGTGAGTTGCCATGTCAAAATACTTAGATTTCATATTTCTTTTTAAAACATTCCAACTTCCAGAACTTCTGAAAATCAGAAATTCTGGAAATGTTGGGCCCAATTTCCACTTGTGGAGAGTCAGTCACAGTGGATGTGACCGTCTGATGGAGCTGGTGGCAGCTGTCCCATTTAAGTGGGGCCTGCGCTCCTGCCCCACCTAGGTCCCCCTCTATATGCGCCTCCTGGCCCTGGCCTTTCTCCTGAGTTCTGGGTCCACTCTGTAGCTCACCCCAGCATACTAAACCAACTTGGGGATTCCCCTCTGTCCATCACCTCCTCTGCCCACCCCATATCTACTCCCCTCCTGGAATTGCTTGTTCTTGACATGACATCATCCCACAGGCACGACCGCTGCAGTCACCCTTGACCTTCTGCAAGTACCATCTGCCCTGGTACCTGCTAGGTTTCCCTGATGGGCTCTGTGAATTTTCGCCTCAGTGTTTTTGATTAAACAAATCCCTGGGTCAGAAATGCCTTCTCCTCCCCTTTCTGCTTCCTGCACTGTAACTTCTCACAAGATTCTGGGTTAGATGCACCCCCTCTAAGAAGCTGTCCCCCTCCACCTGAGTCTTCCACAGTCTTGTTCTTCCTCCAAACTCTGACTGCACTTACCTGTAGCGATCACATGGCATTTGCCATTTTGCCCTTTAAGTTATCATTTGTCTCTTTAAGGAATATCCTGAGGGCAAAAGCAGTACAGGGACACGTGTCTAGTGAGAGAAGGAAACAACTTTTGGTGGTGAACACGATTCAGTCTATACAGAAGCCAAAATATAATGATGTACACCTGAAATTTACACAATGTTATAAACCAGTGTGACCTCGAAAAAAGAGAGGACCCAGCCCTGATGGCCCAGTGGGTAAAGTTTGGCACTCTCACCCCTTCAGCAGCCCGGGTTCGCTTCCCAGTCACGGAACCACACTACTCATCTGTCAGTTGCCCTGCTGTGGCGGTGGCTCACACAGAAGAACTAGAAGGACTTGCAACTGGGGTATACAACCATGCACTGGAGCTTTGGGAAGGAAAAAAAAAAAAAAAAAGGAGGAAGATTGGCAACAGATGTTTAGCTCAGGGTGAATCTTTCCCTGCAACAACAACAAAAAAATGGTTCAAACTGACATGATCATAAAAAAAGAAAAAAAAGAGTAGCCCCTTCCTCTAAATCTAGACCTATAGTGTCTAACACAGTAACCACTGGTCACATGTAGTTACTCAAATTTTAATTTACATTAATTGAAATTAAAATGTAAAACTCAGTTTCTTGGTCAGATTAGCCACATTTCAAGTGCTCAGTAGCCACATGTGGTTAGTGGCTACTGTTTGGCCAGGATGGGTGTAGAATATTACCATCATTAATGAAAGTTCTTTTGGGCAGCGCTGGCCTGCACTGCAGGTTTCTTAAGAACAGAGACTGTGGGGGCCAGCCCCATGGCGTAGCAGTTAAATGCACGCACTCTGCTGCTGGCGACCAGGGTTCAGATCCCAGGCGCGCACTGATGCACCGCTTCAAGCCATGTTGTGGTGGTGTCCCATATAAAGTGGAGGAAGATGGACACGGATGTTAGCCCAGGGCCAGTCTTCCTCAGCAAAAAGAGAGGGATTGGCATGGATGTTAGCTCAGGGCTGATCTTCCTCACAAAAAAAAAAAAAAAAAGAACAGAGACTGTGATCATATGCATGTGTGTATGTATCCCCACTGCCTAGCACAGTCTGAGCCCCCCTAAAAATCCTAACTGTGTGTTTTTTCGTGTATAAGCAAGAATGAGTTGGAAATGACACTAAGATTCTACACTCGAGAGGTAGGAAACAGTAACTAGAAATGGGAAATTATTGGAAGGGAGTGAGGAAATGAAATTTGCACTGAAACTGTGATTGTCACTTGGAAAATGTGATTGTTTCTGGTTAAAAATAGAAAAGCAGAAAAAAAAAGAACATATCGAGTCCATTTCCTTCATTTTGTCTCCTATTCTTGTTCCAATCCTCCCTTTTTGATGACGGCCTGACTGCCATAATGTCTTCTTTGGAAACAAGTAATGACTCTCCAACTCTCTTTTTATCCCCCCCCCCCATATATGTGTGCATACACACACACACACACCAGCTTTCCTATAACCTCTAATTCTCCCAAAGGCCCTCGCAAAGTCTTCTTACAAGGGAAAGATGAAGTGCAGTGATTTCTCCATCTCAGCTTCTCTTTTTACTGATAAAAATGTTTTGTAAGTCTCTATTTATAAATCAAAGTGATAATATAGTGGATTATTCGATTCTTAAGGTTTATTTTGAGGACAAATGTGTTTCAAGCTCATGAGCATTTCATTTGGATTTTTGTTAAGTTGCAGTAATAATGGGAGTTGAATTAAGCACTTCTAGCCACAAAACATAAACAGCTCTGGAAAAAGAAAAAGATATACACAATGTACTGAAATTGGAAAATCAATGAAAATGAATGAAGAGTGTCACTCCGCTGTGAGGCTTTCCAGAGTTCAGTGCTGACCCAGGCAACATGGGTGCGATCTGAAGGAAAGAAGCGTCCCTGTGTTTAGGCAAGCCTTCCTCCGTTGGCTAGTGCTGCGTAAGCTTCTCTCCGGCGAGTTTGCTGAAAGGGTAAGACGTGACTCCACGTTACTCCTCTTTAAAGGGACAGAGCCTGCACCTCAGACTTCCAGTCTGTGTTTTCCCATTTGCAATGTTCTCCTCTCGCTGTGCCTTTCCTACGAGCCACGTGCATATGACGGTGCCTGCAACAGGATGTGGAATTCTTTGTCATTATTTCTGGACACCTTCTGAGGAGGCATCCTGTCTTAGGCATGGTTTTAAAAGTCTACTTCTGGACCATCTGGGCAGAACACTTAAAACAGATTTATGGGGGCCGGCCCGGTGGCGCAAGCAGTTAAGTGCGCGCGCTCCGCTGCGGCGGCCCAGGGCTCGCTGGTTCGGATCCCGGGCGCGCACCGACGCACTGCTTGGCAGGCCATGCTGTGGCGGCGTCCCATATAAAGTGGAGGGAGATGGGCACAGATGTTAGCCCAGGGCCAGTCTTCCTCAGCAAAAAAAGAGGAGGATTGGCGGATGTTAGCACAGGGCTGATCTCCTCACAAAAAAAAAAAAAAAAAAAAAAAAAAAAAAAAAAAAAAAAAAAAAAAAAAAAAAAGCAGAACACACACACAAAAAAAAAAAAAGATTTATGCACCGTTCATTTTTAGAAAATATTCCATTGGGACCCCTACAAACTTTGATTTGATTCAAATCAATATCAAGTTGAGTTACCCTGTCTTCACTCACAGTATCTCAAATAGCGTGTCTGAGCACTGAATATTGTGAGTGTAAATAGATAGGTCAGGGACCCCTTCTAGGGCAGGGGCCACTGAGACTGTACAAATGGTTTGCCCCCCTCCAGCCCCCACTTTGTCAGGAGTGGAGGCTCCAGAAACCCACTGGTTGACATGAGCTCAGTTGATAAGGTGTAAATTTTGTGTGTGTGTGAGGAAGATCAGCCCTGTGCTAACATCTGATGCCAATCCTCCTCTTTTATTTTTGCTGAGGAAGACTGGCCCTGGGCTAACATCCGTGCCCATCTTCCTCCACTTTATATGGGACGCCACCACAGCATGGCTTACCAAGCAGTGTGTCGGTGCGCACCGGGGATCTGAACTCGCAAACCCCGGGCCGCCGCAGCGTAGCGCGCGCACTTAACAGCTAGCGCCACCGGGCCTGCCCCAGGACGTAAATTTGTCACTTTGCTTTTCCATTTAGTACCTTTCCTTTCATGAATATTTCTCAAAGAGGACCCTGGCAGGGGTATTTACCCAAGAGAGAGATGACAGAGGGCTTCAGGGGAGGCGGCAGGCGCTGTTTCCTCTGAACCTGCCTTTCACATACTTACTTTGTAATGCAGCTTGTCAATGAGAACAGTCAAGGACGCCAGTAAACCATCTTTCATATGTTACCATTTTGTCGTTGCCCTTTCTTCTTCCCACACTCGCTCCCCTGGATGTCTCAAGTGGGGCCCATGGGGGCAGGTGCCCCCATCTGATCTGCTCTTCTCCACTCTCCAAGGAGGAAAGGGATTGGGTCCAGGTTGATCTCTGACATATTCCCAGTCCTTAGCACATGAGAGATGCTCAAAAAATATTTGTTGAGAGATGAAAGGAAGGATGTGAGGAAGAGAGAGAGGCAGGCAGCATGAAATGTCTTACATCTCTGTGTGCACAGGCCACTGTTTTGCAGGGTAATCTCCTTTCATTTCCCGGTGTGTTTGGGGTGGTGCAGCCTCTGGACCCAGAGTGCATGCACAGAGCCAAGAGCAAGACCACCCATGTCTCATCCACTCTGGGCAATGTGAAAATGCTAGAAGGC